AAGACAAACTGCCGGGTTAGTTTTGTCAGCAACACTAGATTTGTTTTTGAGGCAGGAGTAAATAGTAGTGTCATCCGCATAGATCCCTTCTTGGGAACCTATGACATCAGGAAGTTTATTAATGAAGATAAGGAACAGAATAGGGCCTAGGATAGAGCCTTGGGGAACACCTGTGTTCGTGGGATAGGAACTGGAGGAGAATCTGTTGAGAACGACCTTCAATATATGGTTTGACAGGAATGATTGTATTAAGTCGAACAATCGACCTGAAATTCCATAACCCTGAAGCTTGTGAAGAAGAAGGCCGGCATGCCAAACCCTATCAAATGCTTTGGAGATATCTAGAGTCACAGCACGAGCTTCTCCATAATTAGAAGGGTCTCCTGAATTCTTAAAGACAGGAACAATGAATGAGGCCTTCCAACAGGCTGGAAAACAAGATTCATTAAGGCAGTAGTTATATAATTTGGAGAAGGCAGGGGCCAGTTCAGGCGCACATTTCTTCAGGACGATGGCTGGTATCCCATCTCTACCACTAGCCATGTGGGGGTCTAATTTAGAGATAATGCCCAATACCAATGATGGGATTATGTGCAACTTGCTCAACTGAGCCTCAGTTCTAAGGGGGAAATCGGGTGCGGGTAGACTGGAAGAGTCGAGCGTTGAATGGAATGAGAATTTCCGAGCAAAACATTCAGCCTTGTCAGCAGAAGAGGTCAGAACCTCAAACTGGTTGAACAAAGGTGGTATAGATGGTTTGCTGTTGTTAAGTACGCTCTTGCAGAGATGCCAATAATCCTTGGAGCCAAATTTGCGAGATACACTATGTTTTTTCATTCAAGCAGCAAATAGTGACTTTGCTTCATTGAGGACATGCCTAAACTCATTACAGGCGGACACATAGAAAAGATATCAAACTCTGGTAAGAAGGTATTTGGGGCTGGTTGTGCAAAGATCTTGGTTCTCTTGAAAAGGCACGGAATCCACATTGAGATTCTGGTAGGATCTTTTCAGTAATGGTCTGAGACCAATTTAGAAGGATCCTAGCAAAGACTTTTCCATTAATGGTGATTAATGATATTCCTCTATAGTTCTCACAGGCTTTTTATCAGCTTTTTTGAAGATCATGATGATGACTATATCTTTCTGTTCTTTAGGAACTTATTAGAATTCCCACATCTTGGTGAAAATGAGGGTTTACAAAGGTAAGCCTTCATGATTGATCAGTTTGAATTGATATTGTCTGGGCCTAGTCTCATTTGCTTGAATTCTTTAAATGTATGCCTCATATTCATCCAAAGCTAAGGAGGAGGATTTGGAATGTTTCTCAGGAAGTCCTCAGTTGTGTTTGAGTTTCTATTTAGCAGGGTGGAAAAGTGTTCCTTCCAGCGTAGGAGTATATCTTGTCGATTCGACAGGATGTTTCTATTGTCAGCTATTAGAAGGGATCGAGTTGATGTTCATACTAGTTCAAATAGATGTTTTGTTCCAGCATAGAAATTTCTGAGATCATGTACATCTGCCTAGCACTGAAGTTTGACTGCTTTTTGTTGCCACAAAACAATTTTCAGGTGTGAAAGAGCAGACATGATCCAACCCTATAAACTGGTGCTACAAAATCACAACCAAAGAACTTTACCAAATAATAAAAATACACATTACTTGAAGACTTCTAACAGCAACAAAAAATGGAGACCATATATATCTGGAAGAGAAAATAAGGATATAATAAAACTGTTAACTTTCCACACTACCAATAACAAAAAGTTTGGAAGAAAACTCCCAACAGTACCAGAAAATGCTATAAGAGTCTAACTTCATAAAAACTTTTAATAAAAAGATTTTATAAATTTCAGTCAACAGTAACATTAACTGTTTGGTCAATGAATAACAAATGTTTTCTGTGTGGAAACAGCTAATTGCACCATTATCATTTATTTGAAAGATGCACAAAAAGCAAAGTGAAAAAATTGTCTTTACTTAATTTTATTGGATTAATAAGAAACAAACAGACAAGCTTAATTATTTAAAAACATTTTTTTTAATCATCTCACCCCAATGCAGTTGATGAGGCCACTAAATTTTGAGAGTGAAAGGAAATGAGGAAACATTAGTAAGGCCAAAAGAACAGGACTCAGAAAAACAGAAGATAGTGATTGATGTTGCATTTTTAACAATGTCTTACTCCTGAGTATACTGGTATTCTTGAAGACTTTGATTTTTCTGATAAAACTTTGCATTTAAGAATGGTGACTCTTAGAGTCACCATTCTTAAATGCAAAGTTTTATTGCAATTTATGGCAATTTATGGCAATACCTCTTTCTCTTCTCCCATGAGTCTGTTGATTGATTCAGTGATATTAGTGAGGAGAAAGACCAAAAGAACAGAATTCAGAAAGTGTTATATACCTATGTACCTATGTTATTAATAACACCATTATTATCTATTAGTATTTCATATACTATCATGGTTTTGCCTCATAAACAACAATTATTTTACATGTTAGAATGGTGACTGTAAGAGTCACCAATTTATGACAATGCCTCTTTCTCTTCTCCCATGAGTTTGTAGATTGATTCAGTGACAATGGCCACATAAAAAATCTTTTACTTCCAGAAATGCTTGTCAGCAGATCCTCTTACCTGTAGTGATCAGTACCATAGGAGATGAATGTTCTTTTTAAGGAAGTTCTATATTACTTTTGTGGTGACCCCTCTTTTGCATTGATAGAAGGCCAGGTCATCAAACATTAGGGATTTTAGCAGTTGATTATCTTCATTTATGAACAGTCAGTTCAATGCAGCAGGGTTTTTTTTTAATCTTTTCACTCCAAGCAAGACAGTAACACTACTAAGATACAAGGACTTACTGAGAGTGAAAAGAAATGAGGAAACATTAGTGAGGGGAAAGGCGAAAAGAACTGGATTTTGGTAGATGGCAATTGATGTTGCATTTAAATTTGTGGAGATTGTGGAAGGGAAGCAAGAAATTGGAAAAAATTTCACAGGTGAGAAATGAAAACAATTAGAATAAAACTTATGGTTACATCCAGCTACTTTTTAACAGTAAAACATTGAGACCTAGTTACCAATCTGGTACTATGCTTAAATTCATGTGGTTGAGGAAAAGCTCATTAGAACAATTGCCATGAAAATATTTAAAGAAAAGGCAAAGAGAAACTACATTAAGGTGGTGAGAAAGTGACTGATGCCAGGTCAGAACCAATAATATTGCAGATACTTTTTTGGATTATGTCAAGAAACTTTAGATATATTTAAATTTATGAAGATTGTAGTTGACAAGAAAAAAGAAGCCAGATGAGTGAAGACAAGAAGTATGAGAGAAAAAACCATAGAACTTATGGTTAGTAGATGTAAAGAAGTTAGTAGATAGTATAAAATGTTTATTTTTATCTGATGTATTGTTATTGCTGTTGTTAATAATGTCATTATCTTTTTTCAAGTTGTATATTTTGTATGTCTTTCTATTAGAATTGTGGATGAAATACTGAGGATACTGGAGGTTTTTGAAAGTGTTTTCTATGTATATTTCTTCTTCAGGTAAGTATTGGGGGCTTCAGATTCTTAGTGCTCTTAAATAAAATCCTATAAGTATTCCATATCTTATTCCATTGTGATGGTGAGAATAGAAATTGATTTTGTTTGTAGATTTTCTGTAAGCCTCCAACTGAAAGTCATTATTAATTCTATGTATATCTAGGAAGAGCAAAGTGTTGTTAGACTTAGATTCAAAGGTAAAATCTGTTGTGGGTTTGATGTTATTAAATTTGTTAACAAGATAGGGAATTAATTGAGAATCATGTATACATATAAAATGAAAAGAATTTTGTACTAAAATAATTTTGAAAGAACCACTATCTAGAAATATTCTATACTGCATTGGTAAACCAGATTTTTATCAATAAAAATTGTTATCAAAAGTGAAAAAACATTGATTAATGATTAAATGGTACATTTTTATGATCTTATGTGTAGGAAGAGGTAATTTTACTTTTTCTATGTGTGCTTTCAATAAATTTAGGCATTTCTTTATGGGAACATTTGTATATGAAGCTTTTATAGCTAAACTGATCATAAATTTCTGTTTTTAACTCATTGAACATCACCCCAAAAAACACCCATACTCTACTGATTACCAAAAATACATAAACCAGATATCCTAATGTGAACCATTATATCAGGAATAGGTAGTGCCCTCTATAAACTAGCTGGCACACTACACTAGACAAAATTTTAACCCCACTTCTTGGTACAATTAGTTCCTCACACATGAAAAAAAAAAACATCTGGTGATTTTTTAAATAAATTAAAAAACAAAGAGATTTACAGAAAATCTACCAATAAAAATGACCTTATTATTTTCTATTCTCCCCACTGCAACAGGATAAAATCCGGAATAATTACAGGATTCTATTTAAGAGCACTAATAATCTACAGCCTCCAATACTTATCTGAAGAAGAAATAAACATTATTAACAATATCACCAACAATAGCAATGACAATAAACTCTATAAAAACAGACATATGACACTACCTACTAATTCCTTAACATCTACTATCCAAAACAAATTAATCAATGTTATCAATATTAACTCATGGGTACATTTAGCAATTTCAACAGTAAAATGATGAGACCAAGCTGCCAGTCTAGTAATATGTTTAAATTCATCTGGTTGAGATACCAAGAAGGAAAACTCATCAGAACAATTGCCATGAAAATATTTATAGAAAAGTCACAGGGAAGCTATGTTATGGTGGTTGGAAAGTGATTGAAGCTGAGATGCCATGTCAAGACTGATAACATAATTGTTTTTTGTTACTTAAAGCATTATACCTGTCTTTCAATATATGTCACTCACAAAGTCTTCAATCTAACTTACCAAATTAAACATGATTGACATCAGAAGTGGCAGGAGATTTCATCACAGTAGAACTGAGTGTAACTATCTTTCAACTATCCAGCTTACCATTACAACATGTTGAAACACTGGCTCTCATATGATCACTAAAGTTAAGCAATGCCAAGCCTGATCAGTACCTAGATGACTGATCATTTGGGAATACCAGGTGCTGCAATGTTGGATATGCAGATGGTGTAATGGATAATGACTCAGAATTTTTAATCGGAGAGCCAAGTTCCAATTCCCGTTGGGTTCATTAATGTTAATTTACATGCAAATACCCTTGAAAAAGGTATGAATCCACCTCTTTTTCCACCTACTCGTTAGTGTGTTTGCCCATAGTAACACATTTTGTCCTAATCATTCTAACCTATTTGATGGTTTAGTTAGAAATCCCGGGTCGAAAGAAAAATCAGAAAAAAAGGGAAAATTGAATGTCTTTGGCTAGATGCGAAAGTGTCTCGTCAGTATTCTCTTGATGTAGTGGCCGAATCTTCTTGCTTGATAAATTGTCTGAACTTGGAATTGTTTTCGCCGTTTCTTTCTCCTGTTCTTCTTAATTTTATTGAAAGCATGCCTCCCAAGCCCACTATTTGGTGAGGGCAAAGGATTGGCTGTTGACCCCCCCCCACCAGGTCGATGCTTGGACTTAAGGTAAGCTGTACATTCACTTGTTATCATGAGGAAGAAAGTGGACTAACACTCATGGCCACGTATGTTGGGGCATTTATTATGACATAGCAATATATCCGGATAAACTTATTTTCTTCAATTTCTTTTTAGAATAGACAATGGGACTTATACTAAGTTAAAACTTAATGTTGTGAAAGGGTAAAATCCAAGTGTCAGCCAGGACTCTTTGCAAATTACCTCCCCCTCTCATCGTTCCCTCTGTTTTTGTCATTCTTGTATGTGTTATATGTAATAGGAGTAGGTAGGCTTTCCTACTGTCCAGTCAACACTCCTCCACCTTCTCTTGGACATGAGTAGAGGCTTATGCCTTGTTTCTTGTTTAGGAAGGGATTTCCAGTACTCTCTCTCTCTCTGGCCTCTGTATTAGTGCAGCTCTGTTTCTCCCGTGATGTGTGCAGTCTGTGGCATCACCTCTTCATTCTGAGGGTACACGGTTGACAGTTCTCTGGTTGCTGTTTCCGACTGGTAGTTAGGAGCCCTAACTCTTGCTTAGTGTCTTAAGCGGCCGCTCTGATCAACAGTTGCATGATACCGGGGTGTTTGTAGTGCCATGTTGCGCATGTAAAGGTGTCCCTGCAGTCACTTCTGGTAGGCAACCCTGAGGCCACATTATGATGCAGGTTGTGCCAACTCCTCTCTGCCCACGTCACGGTCGAAACTGTCTGCTTCTTTTACTTCGGGCCTTCTCATCTTCCAACCAAAATTCCACATGACTTACAAAGACCGAAAAAGTAATCCTAAACCAGCCACTCAAAAATCACCTAAACCCCTCAACATTTCGTTCCCCAACATCCGTGGCATTAGAACAAACTTCTGCAGTATTGAATCTTTCCTCACTGCAAACTTCCCGGATATACTGGCTCTCTGTGAGACCAACCTTGTCTCGTCTATCTCCTCCTCTGATCTCTCGATCACAGGCTACCTTCCTCTCCTCAGAAAAGACTCTCTAACCCACAGGCACGGTCTTGGTTTTCTACATCAAGGACCATCTCCCTCTGGTCAGAGAGTTCTCTCTCGAATCGCCAGACCAGTCATACATGTGTCTCCGACTATCTCTTCTCAATGCGGTAAGCTATCTCTTCTTCCTTTACCGCTCTCCATCCTCTCAAGACTGTGGGATACTCAATAGCATTTCTGACAGCAAAGACAAGGCTCTCTACCTCCACCCATTTGCTCACATATTTGTGTTTGGCAACTTTAACGCCCATCATACCATGTGGCTTAAGAATGCTACTACTGACCACGCAGGCATTCAAATGCTCAATTTTTCAGTCTCTCAATCCCTCACGCAGATAGTTAACTTCCCCACTCGTTTTGCCTTCAACCGGGAAGGTAAAGCCTCTCTTCTCGATCTGTGTTTTACCTCCAGCCCCATGCAACTCTGCCCTCTTGGTAACTCTGATCATCTGTTAACATCTTCTTCTCCACCCCCTGCAAAGAACTTCCTACCACTAGAACTTCGTTCTACTATCAACAAGCTGACTGGGGCGCGTTCCGTGATTTCCTCCGCGATGTCCCCTGGGATGGTGTCTTTACGCTCCCCATCCAAGAATGTGCTTCTGAGGTCTCATCCTGGGTTAAAGCTGGAATCGACGCTTTCATCCCCTCAAGGAAATATAGGGTCAAGTCGCGCTCCTCCCCATGGTTCTCTGCTACTTGCTCAGCCGCCATCGCCCATAGGAACCACTTCTTTCACCTCTTCCGTAGTGACATGTCTGACTGCAATAGACGTCTCTTTGCTTCTGCCCATAACGAGTGTAAGCGTGTCCTCAACGATGCTAAGTCACTATTTGCTGCTTGGATGAAGGAGCGTATTGCATCTCACAAATTTGGCTCCAAAGATTATTGGCGTCTCTGCAAGAGCGTATTGAACAATTGCAAACCCTCTATACTTCCTTTGTTCAACTAGTTCGAAGTCCTGACCTCCTCTGCTGACAAGGCTGAATGCTTTGCTCAGAAATTTTCATTCAACTCGATGCTCGACTCTTCCGGTGTACCCAGACCCGACTTCCCTCTTAGAACTGAGGCCCTATTGAGTGGCTTACACATAGCCCCGTTTTTGGTACTGGGCATTATCTCCAATTTAGACCCCAACAAGGCTAGTGGTGGAGATGGAATACCAGCCATTGTCTTAAAGAAATGCGCACCTGAACTGGCGCCCACCCTTTCTAAACTACAACTACTGCCTCAAGGAATCTTGTTTTTCTGACTGCTGGAAGTCCTCTTCAATTGTTCCTGTCTTCAAGAACTCTAGCGACCCCTCTGACCCTTCTAACTACCGTCCTATCAGTCTCCTACCCCTCTTCGGCAAAGTCTTTGAAGCCCTAATCAATACCGAGGTGGTTAACCACCTCACATCCCATGATCTGCTCTCATACAAGCAATATGGCTTCCGCTTTGCCCAATCTACAGCTGATGTGTTTATGGCCATCATTGAAACTGTCTACCGAGCTCTTCAAAATAACAGGGAAGCTTGTGCCATGGCCCTAGACATCTCCAAAGCATTTGATAGGGTTTGGCATGCCGACCTTCTTCGCAAGCTCCAGGGTTATGGCATTATGGGTTGATTGTTTGACCTAATACAATCATTCCTGTCAAACAGTGAATTGAAGGTCGTTCTCAATGGATTCTCCTCCAGTTCCTATCCCACAAACGCAGGTGTTCCTCAAGGCTCCATCCTAGGCCCCACTCTATTCCTTATCTACATAAATGACCTTTCTGACGCCATAAATTCCCAAGTTGGCATCTACGCGGATGGCACCACGATTTATTCCTGCCTCAAAAACAAATCTAGTATCACTGACAAAACTAACCTGACCATGCGTCTCAAAAAGGACCTCCAATCAGTTGTGAACTGGGTCAGGAATTGGCTGGTCAACTTTAATGCTTCAAAAACAAAACTGCTCTCTATTAATCACCACAGAGATCCTTCCCTGCCCTCCATTAGAATGTCTGAGGCTCAACTTCTCATGAGCAACTCTCTGCGGCTGCTTGGTCTCACATTGACTGCTGACCTGAGATGGAACAAATACATTGAGTCAATTGCTTCATCCACCGCAAGGAAAGTTGGATTCCTGTGCTGCGGCAGGAAATTTTTCTCCCTGGAATCGATCCTCCAGATTTACAAATCAACAATTCACCCTTGCATGGAGTATATGGTCTGGAGCCCCTTCTGTTTGCCTCGGGGTTCTTGATAGGCTCCAGAGGCAGATATGCAATATAATTGGCCCTGCTCTGGCATTTTGTCTATAGTCACTTTCTCACAGACGTGCTGTCGCCTCTCTCTGTCTGTTTTACAAATACTTTCATGGCAATTACTCCAAGGAGCTACATTCGCTGGTTCCCAGACTTCATATGTTTAAGCACCCTACAAGCCTGGCATCCCGCTCTCACCTCTTCACTGTCGAAACTCTTATATGTAGCCGTCTCTTCTACTGCAATAGCTTCATGTCTCACACCTCTTGCCTGTGGAACTCCCTTCCCTATTCCAGTTTCCCTGAGAGCTATAATCTCCAGCTATTCAAATGTGATGTCAATTGACATCTCCAGTTGCCTTGATCTATCCACTACCTTTCTCCTCATCCTTTCTTCTATCACTCCTATCTGATCTTGCTCCAAATTTTCTGTAACCCCTTGCATCCTAGTGGCTTCCTGCCTTGCTTGGGGTGAAAAAAGAAAAAAAACTAAACCTTTATTATGTCCCTAAAAATTCATACAACCTAAAAATATTTCTGGCTTTAAATAACCTACAAAAGTTTGATAAGTCGTAGAAAATGAATCAATCATTTCAACTACCCAATAAATTACAAACTGTGTATAGAAAATGATTGCACCTTGTTTGGGCATGTCTGGCCAATTAATGTAATATTAAGAGAAATTGAAAAGGTCTCTGGTACACAATAGCAGATATAAGGTTTATGTTCAAATCAGCCAATGAAAAACAGTTATAGTCTTTTCATTACACAGGTTGCAGTTACTGTAGTGGAGCAGCCAGAAGAAAGTTATTTGTCAGAGTCTAGCTTTAAAGCAGCCAAAGTACATACATATAGTCTCTTTATTGAGCAGGCAGTGACGGCTCTAAGGTTGTTGGTACCCTGGGCAAGCTGAACTTTCAGCGCACTTACAAGTATAATTTTTTAAAACTGAAAATGTAGAATAATAAATTTATTAAAATATACAACAATACAAGCTATAGAAAACATTCATTATTGTACCTAAAACATTTTTTCTAGCCTTTATATCTGCAAATCTTTTCATGGCTTTTTCAACACCTATCTTCTTTACAAGATCATTATCTTTTGACAAAATAGCCAAAGAGTTTAAACTGTCTTGTGTCATGGATGAACACAAGTATGTTTTTATAAGCTTTAATTTTAGAAAATTCCAAACACATGACATGGCAGCATGATAGCACCCTCAACCTTGATAGCATCTTGTGTGACTGCCTAATTTGCCAGTAATTTAAGCCAGCCATGTGCAAAGT